AGAGTGCAACTGTACATAGCATGTAAACCAGCTTTGCATTATATACAATGTAGCTACATACCTTGTAAACTTTGTAATTGTAAATCCGACCTTGCACCTTGGCTAAGACTGCAGTTCAGTCAAAGAGTTTGATAGCTTAATGACTGAGTTATTGAGGTCTTGTGTGTTTTACAAGATGATGACCTCAACTGTATTATAGCATTTACAATAATTAACATACACTCATTAACATACACTAACTCATTTGATTACTTTCTTAGCATTGTAAAGGAATCTCTACATGCTATTTTCACAAATATTAATGAATTTAATAAATAATTATATACCTCAAACAATTAATTTTCAAGAATAACAATTATTTTTTTCTTAAAAATGCAAATTAAACAAATATTTTAAGAAATGTAATTTAAATTAAATATAAGTATCAACAAACAATAATGAAAATTCTAATAATTCATGTAAGTTAGATAATAATGATAATAATAATAATGCTGATGATGTAATCGTAATGGTGATAAGAAGATGAAAAACAAGGGCATTCTTCTTCATGCATGTTTTGCATTCCTGAAAGCTTCATGGTATTCGCTAGGTCTGCTATCCCAGTTATGTCCAGAAGCAAGGCTGCTGTTGTTTTCATTTTACATTACAGTCCTGACTCTAACTTTTGAAAGTTGTGATGACATCTTCAGAAAGAAGCAGTATTACACTTCTTGCAGCGCAGGCTTTTTGTACTTCATGCAATTCATACTGGGAATGCCTGTTTAATATAGCACATACAATCAGTATACTGCCCTCTTGTGACAAACTTAACTTTTTTTCTTTCTGTCACTTTTTATGGCTGTATGAGGGCGCCCTTTTATTATAAAATTAATTTTGTTTGCAGTTTGTTCTAACACTATTTTCATTTTCTTGCAGCAAGCTTTTAATGCTACAGCTGTGATACGTCATATGCGAAAACTTGGTCTGCACGGTGGTTCTGTTGACAATGGTGAGGGAAAGTAAACAAAGTCTGTGGCTGTGATGAAGAAAAACTGAATATACTTGGAGACCCAGACATTTTTTTTTTTGTTAAGAGTGAACCACATTTTTCAAAACAAATCTTCAAAAAATTTTTAAAAATTAACCAAAAAAATCTAGTTTGAGATCAAAGCTATTTTCTTATGAGTGATGTTATTCTGTGATACTGCAAGCATTTTGCATATTTTTGCTTGGTAGCTGTATTTACATTAATACATACACATTTCCATCATTTTATGTATTTTTTTTTATAAAATAGACTATTCATTCACTGTATTGTTGAAATATGTTTTTGTTTATGTTCTCTTTGTTTCATATGTTATATATGCTTTGAAACACTTAGAGTTGAACTCTAGTACAATTCATTGTTGTTTTTTTTGGCTGCTGGTCAGTGGAGCTAAAATCCACAAATGTCATATTCTATGTTGTATTCAAGCCTGACAGTTAAAATGATACCAATAAAAAGGGAGTCAGCCCCAGCATTATATATACGTAAGTTTCAAATATTACCATATTTGCTCTATCAGTAACGTGTGCACTCAATAAATGACATAGGTTCATCTGTGGTCAAAATAAGTTCTAATTTAATGATTCCGCATACAGAGAACGTAATTTTGGTTTTTATGTATGCTTCTATTAGAGATGTGCTTGTAATAGAACAAATACGGTATTGTGAATAGATAAACATTGCAACATGCTAAGTTGACCGGATTGGTAATTGGGTGGGTGGGTGGGGTAATCATATTTTAAAGTCAGTATAATTATTTTGGGGTCAGAAAATTGATTTTTAGTTACATTAACCATGTGCAATGTACAACTAGTTACGTTCAATCTAGATCTTATTTTCTCAGGTTTCTCATTCAGTTTTCTTTCACGGTTCCATCCTCCTTTTCTTCACTGTTTTTTTTCAATCTGTATACCTTTGTTAATTTAGCATGCAGGAACTCACTAACTACAATTGAATTTGTTGGCATTACATCGAACATAGGATCATGATTTTTTATTGTCACAAAATCTACGACTGAAAATAATCTATTAACAGCTTGAAGCAGGGGGTTGTTCTCACCTGTGCATGCTTCAGATGGCCATAGTGTGTCATCAAGTGTCTACCCATGAGCCTTTGCGGTTTTTGCATGTGTTATCATCGCTTGGGACTTGGTTCCCACGCATGCACAGGTGGAGACACTCTCGCTTTAACTATTCTGTATCAGGACAAACCACAAGCAACATAAAATAGTATGTTCTTTCTCTGAATTTGTTTTTCGATTTGGTGTATAAAAACAATATCATGGTGACAGTTATTGTTTTATTCATTAAATGCTAGTGATAAATACTAGAAATTATTTTGGTATTTTTATGTGACAGGTCCTGATTGGAAAGTATATAGGTATATTATTCCTAAGTATCTTAAGTATGAGTGGGAACCCTTAATTCTGTCTTGTCTCGGGAAATGGAAGTTAGCACAGTCTCTAATATTAGGGTCTGGGGAAACAGAAGTTACCG